AAAAAAAAAAAAAAAAAAGAAAAAAAAAGAAAAAAAAAATATATATATATATATAATATTACTATCATTAGCATCTGAAGAAACTCAAAAAAATGTGATTCTGATATCAGAAGGGTGTTTAAACACGCCCTGTTAACTTATTCAACGATTTTTGTTACCGTTTTAAATACATTGACATTCTGATAACCAACTAAATTTATACTTATGATAGGATAAACCACTTGAAAAGGCATCATATTATATCCCAAAAGCAGCAAAAGGAATGGAACAGTGATCGTACTAATCGACATTCGATGACATTTTCCTTATATCCCAAAGTTTCAAGGCTTGATCTTTTCCATTCGAGATGAAGTAACGGCCATCTCCACGCGAATCAATGAATGTAATGCCTTCTAAATGTCCTATTAGAACTCCAGCAGCTTGCCCACTAGACGTAAAGCAACGTCTGTCCCAAACCTGAAAAACATTAACAAATTAAGGTCCTTGCAGAAGCAGTAGGTTAGGGATTTGTATCGGCATTTAAGGTATTTTTACCCCTTATGATAAAAAATTTGGAATAATCCAAAAAGGGTACAATTTTGTAAGTGGGTGAAATGATATTTCACTTCCCATGAAATCTTTAAACTGCACAGAGCCTGGTCTAACGATGTTTATGCATAATATTTCAAAATGTAAATTGACTATGGTAAAAACCTTAGGGACAATATTAAAATTAATCTTAAAGGGATAGCTTGTACAAATGCTTTAGATCAAAATGTTGCTCTCTTCATACCATTGTCTCAATCAAAAGTAAAAAATCTCTTTTTTACGCCAGATATATATATACTGCTAATAGCTAAGTATGCTACTCTAATGAGACACATGTAGACATTCATCCAAACTTGATTAAATAAATTTGTTTCCCTTTTTTTTTGGGGGGGGGTTGACGGAACAAAAAATCGACAAAGTAAAAAGGTAAAAGACTAGCAAACCAGCAAGTTTTGATATATTCTAGAACGGAAAACAGACATTACTTTGCAGAGGTGATCATCACTGCCAGAATATATGATGTGGCCACTCTCGTCGGCGAAGCATACGGCATTGACATCTGACTGCAATATATAAAATTGAATCAATAACAAGTCATAAATCTCAAAACAGTACAAAGAACAGAGCAACAAATACCATAGATAGTGGTCTAATCAACAAGATAATCAATCACAAGTGTCACCAATATTTTCAGATTCACAATAAATACAAACACTATGGGTTGGAATTTAGATGATTACTTATCAAAACATATCTTATTTAGGAAGTAGACTTCTATAAAGATAACTATAAGAAAAATGCAGTACCAGATGAGCTGGGATTCTGAGACTTAATCTCTTTGATTCGAGATCGTAAACATATATTGATCCACGACTGCTGGCAGCTACAAGTTCTCGCCCGTCCGTAGAGAATTTAACAGAGAAAATGCCAAAAGAATAACTGTTGTTATAATCATCAACATCAGATGAGAACTCCAGGCCTTCATGAATTTCCTGATTGAAATAAATGATACATTTGATCATAAATGAGAACTACTGAAACAGAGAAACCCTATAGCCATCCAAACAAAACTCAAGACTTGAGAGACTTATTAGTTTGTGTATATAAAGCTCAGGGAAGGTTCCAAATAAACTTTTCTGCAAAACTGACTGTGGCACCTCGTATTCAAATTTGAAAAACAGGAAAGTGCATAACTTAAAGAACATGATATAGATAAATAGGCCAACAAGTAATATATACCAAGGGCTGACTCTTTGAGGTATAAGACACCACCATAACGTTTCCATGCAATACAAGAAAAAAAAAATGTAATTGTCTAAGTAAATACCTATTAGCTACCATCATATTAGCATCAAAGCTAGAATGAAACACATGCAATGACAAAGACATGTAATTCGATCCAACTAATTTGTATAATCTTACCGTCACATTTGCATGAGATTCCTTTGTAGCTGATCCAACATCAACGATATGGACGACAGGTGATATACTAGAATAAACCTGTCAAGTCGCAAATTTTTTTTAAAAAAAAAAATACATAATAAGAAAATCATATAAATTCCAGCAAGAAGCAAACATAACCCCCATTCCATATCCAACACAATAAACTCTGCATCCTTCCTCCAAATGGAATTAATCCATCTAGAATTCTCAAGCATATTTAGCCACGTAACATGCTTACAAGAAAACGGCGATCGGGCGAAAGAGATGTATCGGTAATAGTCCACCTCAAGCTCTTTGCACGTATGTCTTTACGCACTTTCCATCCCATATCGACATCATACACTCTAATATGACTTTCCTGCACAGAAAACAAATGGGGCCAATGTTAAAATCAACAACTTCAAACAACTTAGGCATACAAGTCTCGAAAACACAATTGTATACAAAAATTTTCACTCAAAATTTCATTCAACTCAAAATCTAACTCAACTTTAACTAAACTCCAATATCCTCAATATCTTTATCAATATAATTAAATAATATCACCAAATCATTCTTACACATCACATATACTTTAATTCACTATTCATCCACTCAAATAATTTTAACTAACCATCACTCCATATATCTCTCTCCTACTTTTACATCAAACCAACTTTAACTATTTTATTTTAAATATTATTTTAATATAAATTCAAAATCCCACTAACAACTAACCATACCATCTTTTTCCAAATTAACTCTGGTTAACCAAAAAAATCCACTTTGAGTGAAAATTTTTGTATCCAAATACGCCCTAAAGCTTCCCCCAATACCTGAAACCCAGCCACAAAGAGAGACCCATCGTCCGAAAACTGAGATACGTATGCGCAGCTATTCATCCTATCAACAACTGAAGGACTGTGAACGGGCAAGTAACGGCTAAGCACGTGACATGAGTCGGATGACGAAAATCTCCCTCTCCCACTGTAATTGCATTCCCTGGCAACCAGCATATTCACAGGCGAAACCGGTAATTTGGCCCTTCCAGGCAAAACCTTGGCCAGACGCTTGTTTGGGGCTGACTTAATCTTTGTAAGCTGTGAGAATTCATCATCACTACAGCCAGGCGATTGATTTTCGCAAGATTCTCCGGGCTCATTTATGGTGTCCCTGAACAGGAAATAGCTTCTGGACCTACTCATTATCCTAATTTCTGGATTTCTAGTTTCTTCCTGGTTTTTCTTTTTCTTTTGAGTCTGGTACTAAGCAATACAAAGATGAAGACTAAATAATTATATGTATTCGCTTAGACTGCACTCTTCGATGCAAATTCTAAAGATCTTCAAAACCCCGTCAAATTATATTCCTGCGATCCAAGACAATATCCATAAATTCACGAAACAACAGTATAATTAAACGCACAACTCATACAAAGGAAACTACGACAATTAGAGACCAGAAGACGACAGACGAAAGAATGACAATTAACAAAAATTAAGGAATTAAAACATGAAATTCACATAAAATTTATTTTCAGGTATATACCTGCATAGAGATCAGGGCCTTACGAAAACAATTAAAAAACAAATTCAGTCAGTAAACTGAAGTTTCCAATTTCAGTATTCATTGAAAGATATGTAGAGAGATGAAGGGTTAGTCGTATATGCCATCCGTGACGCAGGGATTTCAAAACAACATGGATTTAGCATTTCTATAAAGAAATATAGCACAAAAGATTATGAGGTTTTAAGCAAGAAACTAGGAAGATTCAATCAAGCTACAACGATATTTACCTGAAAAGGGGGAGCACTAAACAAAACAGATTTTTCGTAGCGTGTTTTTCTTCTTTTGCGTGTTTTTCAGTCTAAATATGCATTTTACCGTGAAAAGGTCAATGCTATTTCTCTATACAATGATTGTTAACTTATATCGATTGTAATGTTTATTCACGCATGAATGATCTTACTAAAGATTTGAATTAATTTAGTATATCTAATACATCAATTTGATAAGAATTTATTTATATAGGTGGATCAATTAAATAAATTCATTGATACAAGAATAATAAAAAATTAAATTAAATATAAAGTGACTTAAAGAGTATCATGTTTAACATTGTGTTAAATAATAAAAAGTGAGTTCAACATTGTCAACATTAAATGTCATCTACATCATCATGAAAGAGTTTATGACAAAATGCATTGGGAATAAATTAATAACACACTTTCAAAAGTTGATGATATGAATGATTTTTTATAATGTCAAAAGTCATATTAGAGATGCTCTTATCACGATAGGGTTGGGAGCATTGCGATCATTTTTTATTATTTTGTGGACGTAATAGCCTTTTATATAGGCTAATTTACATATATATTACTACTTCATATTCTTTTTAAATGTCATTTTAGTTTTATCAACCATTAACTAAATAAATGACGTTTTGTATCTTTTGTACATATTTTTTCATCATTACCCTCATTTAGCTAATAAATATTTTACGTCTTTTCATATTCACTCTGCATCTTTTCTCAAAATATTCATCTCTATTTTCATTAATGAGGTTATTATTGGCAAAAAAAAAAGATTATTAATTATTTTGCAACATCTCAAAACGACACTTATTATGAATAGGGAGAGTACAATTTTTTAAACATTTTGCATAAATAGCAACTTTTTAAAAAAAATCAATTTATATAAAGGATTCACGTTTACAATAAATTTAGAAAATATTTCTTAGTTAAGTTTACGTTTAGCTTATTTATAGTTTATAATATGTTTATATTATCAGATGTTGTTACATGACTAAAAAAATTATGATTATATATTAAACATAAGCTATTAATAAACATCGGAATCTTTCAACATAAAGAAATCAAAACATGTGAAAAGATTCTTCTCAAGACTAAGACATCATTAACCAGTGAATGGAAAGAGATTTCAATCCCACCGTAAACGGCTACACCAACCACTAAGAAGTCAAGGATGACAAAAAGCTCCCCCATAAGGAGCCACAATCATTGAATCCACCTCCATGGCTTAAAACAAAAATCTTCGAATCGCATCATAAATAATGAGAAAAGTTTGTTTGAATTAAAATTTTGAATTAACAATGTAAAAAAGTTTCCAACTCGGTCAAAACCGATGAATCGCCCCTAGAATACTACATGGCTATAAGAGCATCTCCAACCCATCCTCTATAGCAAGTGGAAACTTCATGGTTGGAGAAAAATCATCTCCAATGGAGCCCTCTATTTGTGCAGGAAACGGTTGAAGGGATTTGTGGAACGGTTTGGCAACCGTTCCACTGTTCATCCCCTATAAATTTTTTTTTTTTCTTTTTCTTTTTTGTTAAAAAATGAAGTTGGGTTGTATTTTGGGCTATTTAGATGTATTGTGGGTGGGCCTTTTATAATTACAATTGGGCTACTTGAATTAATTAGTTTTATGAGTTGAATTAAAATATTTTTATAAATGTTTTGAACTTATTTATTGTAATTAATATGGTAGAATTTTAAGTAGTGTAATAAAAAATTGAATACTTTATTAATTAATATGATAGAATACTAATTAGTATTTAAATTTACTTAAGTAAATATTACAAACAAACAAGTTAAAATTACAAAATAAGGATAAACATTCAACTCACTTTAAATTAACGGAACGAACACTAAAATTAAAATGAAAACATAAAGATAAACTAAAAAACTCATCTTAAAGCTCACACATAGTACAACAACGATAATTAATACGGAACATAAAAACTAAAAAGGATTATAAAATAGACGATTTAATAGACTTAATTATCACCATAATAATCATTCAAATTTCCTCCGGCATGCCCGATGTCGTCGAGAAATCCAAATTGATCCGTGTTAGATGATGGTGGTGTTACTTGAGATTGTTGTTGCTCAAACTCTCTTTCTTGCAAAATTTGCATTTGTTTTTGTTCCCAATGTCGACGGATCATGGGATTTGTAATGGTATTCAAATCTATTATCAAAATTCTATCATCATCCCTCTTTTTCTGCAAATCAAGTTGTTGTTTCTGCAATTGAAGTTGGACACTTTGACGTTCTTCGGCCTTCTGCAACAAATCAACAATACTATCACTTTTAGCATTTAAAGTATTAAAATACTGGCAAAATTGGTCCTCATTTTTCTTCTTCAATTTTGCTTTCTTCGCTCCCATTGGACGTTGAGAGGATGTTCCACCAACACCATCGTCACTTTGTTGAGGACTACAAGACGACAATCCCGGAGATTCTAGTATTGGTTGTCCATCATATGGAACGTCGGACTCGGAAGAGTCATTGAGTGTATCGAAATCCCGACGACGAGATCGTGGTTGGGAGACATTATCATCAAATTTTCCAAACTCTTTGAAGAGTCGGAACACATGTTGGAACTTGAAGCCATCTTTATATTTTGGGTCTTGTTCAAACAATCGTTCGGCTTGTTCAATCTACAAACAAAGTAAAAAATATATAATTGTAAGTATACCTATAAAACAAGCAAATAACATGAACCGAGATTGAACTTAAACTAAAGTACTCACCCTATCTTGGATTTGTGTCCCACTAGGATTGCGATATTCGATTTGCTTCAAGCATTCATTAAACCTCCGACAATGAGTTTCTATGAGACGGTAACGAGAGTCAAGAGACCTTATAGAGTGTTCTGGTAAATCCTTGTGTTTTTGGGAGTTGTATTCATCATGTATTTTTTTCCAAAAGGTTGAAGAATTTTGGTCATTTGATGATATTGGATTCTGTGAAACAGTTATGTAGCATCTCACAATTAAGACATCTTCGGGTTTGGAGTATTTTGGCCCTTTTGAAGAAGACATTTTAAAGAAAATAAGATATTCAAGAAGAGTGGGAAGAAGACCACTTCAATAATGGAAGAAGAAATGAGATGTGTATTTTGCTTCTTAAAGTGTGATATATAAATAGAGAAACGAATTCACATGCAAAACATGTATAGTGACTATAAAAAGGAATTCAATGCAAGAGAAATCAATGTCACCTAATTGTTTATTCATTTGTCATTCAATATAAAAGAATCCAATGATGCAAAGTAATAATGTAGTGTAATAATGATCACATGGCCTTGTCCGAAATTATTGCATTTGGCATTATGATGGTCAAAGTTTTTTTACATGGCATTGTCTCAAAAAGAATCCAATGGTTAGAATCCAATCCAAAGATCACATGGCATTGTCCAACAATAATGTAGTGTAATAATGATCACATAGCCTTGTCCGAAATTATTGCAAATTTACACACTAGACCATATATGGTTTAGAGCATATATTCACATTTTAAAAATGATTGTAATAAATTGAATTTCTTAAAGAAGATACATATACATCTATGTACCGATTGAATCAAAACTGTTACTTTTGAAAATATATGAATTAGTGCAAATTTACACACTAGACCATATATGGTTTAGAGCATATATTCACATTTTAAAAATGATTGTAATAAATTGCATTTGGCATTGTGTTGGTCAAATTTCTTTCACATGGCATTGTCTCAAAAAGAATCCAATGGTTAGAATCCAATCCAAAGATCACATGGCATTGTCCAACAATAATGTAGTGTAATAATGATCACATAGCCTTGTCCGAAATTATTGCATTTGGCATTGTGTTGGTCAAATTTCTTTCACATGGCATTGTCTGAAAATATATGAATTAGTGCAAATTTACACACTAGACCATATATGGTTTAGAGCATATACTCACATTTTAAAAATGATTGTCATACATTGCATTTGGCATTGTGTTGGTCAAATTTCTTTCACATGGCATTGTCTGAAAAGGAATCCAATGAAGAAAACATGTATTTCTTTTATTCATTCATTCGTCTATATAAACATGAAACTATACATCATATCATCCAAACTACATATTACATTCATTACCAAACAATTCTGTAATATTTCCCTCTAATATCATTCACAATGAATTATCTTCCTCCTTATAATTATGATTCTGATGAGGAAGATGCAAATGTTTCATTGCCTCTTTTTTATAAAACTTTGGAATCAACCACCACTCATATATTGCAAACCAATAATTTTTTTATGGCACATGCTCTCTCCGCGCAAAGTAGCCAACCAACTTGGGGAGGTTCTGTTCCGGGACATAGAGTAGTCCATCGTGATCGGGAGGAGGCCCATCGCACTCTGTTTCGAGATTATTTTAGTAGTAATCCAACCTACGATGAAGATACATTTCGTCGAAGGTTTCGGATTTCTATTCATAATTTCAAACGTGTTATGCGAGCATTGGAAAATCATGATAATTTTTTCTAGCAACGTCGGGATGGTCTTGGTCGACTTGGATTGTCAACATATACAAAAGGGACAGCGGCGCTTCGTCAGTTGGCCTATAAAACTCCAGCAGATGGTGTTGGTGAATATCTTAAGATTGCTGAGTCAACGGCCAATGAATGCGTAAAGAGATTCTGCCGTGGAGTCGTTGAAGTTTTCGGAGCACAATATCTGAGATCGCCAAATCACGATGATATCGCTAGATTGCTTCATATTGGTGAACAACGTGGTTTTCCAGGTATGTTAGGTAGCTTGGACTGCATGCACTGGGAATGGGAGAATTGCCCTAAGGCATGGGCTGGTCAATACGCTGGACGTTCCGGAAAGCCAACAATCATTTTGGAAGTTGTGGCAGATTATGATTTATGGATATGGCACGCATATTTTGGTATGCCAGGTGCGAATAATGACATTAATGTGCTGGAAGCATCACCTCTAATGTCAAATCTTGTTGAAGGTATCGCTCCACCAGCTAATTACACCATTCAAGGTAAACAATTTAATATGGGTTATTATTTAGCAGATGGTATATATCCAAAATGGTCCACTAATGTTCAGTCTTTTGTTGCACCATCAAATCCAATGGAGGAATACTTTAAAATGAGACAAGAGGCATGTAGAAAAGATGTTGAGCGTGCATTTGGAGTTTTGCAAAAAAGGTTTGCAATCGTCGCGGGTCCTGTTCGTTTTTGGAAAAAAGAGGTGCTTAATGATATAATGAAAACATGTATTATTTTGCACAATATGAATGTCGAAGAGCAACGTGATCTTAGTGCGCCAATTAGAAGTGATGTTCAATTTGGTGCTCATACGGTTACTCCAGCACCGCGAGATCACTTCTCTTTTCAACAATTTCTTGCTCGACACAAGCGAATCAAGGATAAGTCTGCCCACTATGAACTTCGTAATGCATTGGTTGCACATTTGTGGGAAAAATATTCTCATGGCAATAACTAGTGTTGTATTTTGTTTTCCGTATTTCTTATTGTATTGAATGCTTCATGTTTGTGTTGATGTTTTTTTTTTAAATTAATGTTTGTGATGTAATCCACGTGGTTTTATTATGAAGTGTGTAATTTTATGATTTTGATTTTAATTTATTTTTTTAATCTTATTAATCAATAATTAATATATATTCATAGATATGTAAATTTTAGTAAGCATAATGCATTAAAATGTAATTTGTAGAGATTATTTAATAAACTAATAAAATTAGAAAAGAATATGCTTGGAATATTCTTTTAGAGGGGAATTATAGAGGGAATGGATTGGAGTTGCTGACACTGTTGAAACTGTAAAACTAGTGAGATTTTACTGTAGAAACTGTATGGATAGAGAATATGGTTGGAGATGCTCTAACAAGTGCATGGACGGATCTTCTTATTGCCTTCAGCCCAGGCCCTTTATGTTTTTTTTAATGACTTTTAGTTTGAAAAAAACAATTATTATATTTCTAGCCCACTCCAATATACCAATCTACTAACCCACCAAAATACTTCACTTATCTATTGAGTTCAAAGATTACTGACATCACTTTAATAAAATATTATATATTATTGATCCACCATTTCTACTAAGGTACTAACCCACAAAATACCACTATACACCAAACTCCAATCAAATAAATTAGCCACGGTCATGCCCCTCCTCTGAACACTAGGGTTGTGTTTGGTAAGTCAAATAAGCTAGCTTATAGCTTACTTATTTGGTTAGAGCTCCTTGTATTCAAATACGCCTCGTTTGGTAGGACGAGTTTTTTTAAAAAGTTCGAGCTTATCTCATAAGCTACTTTAGGTAGCTTTTCAAATAAGCTAATTGAATTTTTTATTTCAGCTAGATTATCAGCTAATTTTACCACAAACACTTTTATCATATAAGCTAGCTTTTCAGCTATAAGTCATAAGCTATAAGCTATAAGCTAAAAAATTACAAATAAGTTATAAGCTGACTTATCAGCTATCAGCTAGCTTATCAGCTAGTTTTACCAAACATAGCCTAGAACAATGAATTTAGAAGGGAAAAAAATTATTCAACAAGAAAGATGTTACTTTCATGAAGACGATTTAATTTCTTCTTATATTTTCAACCCTCTATTAGATATTGTTTCATTTGTCTAATTGTCTTTATCTATCGTTTCATTTTAGTTAAGCTATTTAGGATTTTATTAGTAATTGCAATGATCATTTGGTCACAATTCTTGTTTTATTGATTGTGTATGAAGTAGTAATTGTGTGTGTTTTTTTAATCTCATATCATCTACTGTGGTTGTATTATATCATAGTTGGATATAAATTTAGGATGTGTAAGCATTTCATTTTGCTAATAACTATGTCATATGAAAAATTTATTTATTGTATTGTGGAATTTTTAGAAATTCACATAAAGCACCAACCTTCGGCCAAGAAAGAAAAAACTCCATTGATATAATCATTTTTTAGAAAACGGAATGGACGCTGAACTAGTGAAAGTACATCAAATTCGGTACAAAATGGGCATAATGATTTTATAATTTTATTTTTTTGTAGAAGCTCGTCTAGCACAACTTCAGTGAATATTTGAAGAAAAAAGATTATGTGATTTTTATGAAAATGAGTTTTAAAATTTTAGCTCAGTCTGCTTTTAACTTCTGGATCTGTCCCTGAACAAGTGGGACTCGTTATAACAGCCACGTATTCATGCAATTTAGGGGGCCGAAAGGGCAGCCTCTGATCCTATGAAACTCTTATGGTAATAAATAGGGTTTGTCCCTGACATTTTTTTTAAAAAGTAAAAAAGAAAAATCCCGTCGGCCGGCTGGCGAAACCGGTCGTAACCGTGCCAGTCCGGTTTCGCCCGTGCGCGTCCGGTTTTTCTGGTAGGACGCGATTTTTTCTTTTTAATAATCGTATTTTTATTTATTATATGAATTATGTTATAAATTAGAATTTATTATCTTATATAGTTTTAATATCATTTTATTAGAACTTAGAAATTATTATGCTGTATAACATAATACTAATTATATGTAGAAAAAACTAATTATCTGTCAAAAAATATAATATAACATTTATAATTATTGTCTGTCAACAAAAATATACATTAAATAATATAACGATTTATAGTTATATTTTAAAATAATACTTTTTCCAGAAATAAAAATTTATTTCTAATACTAATTAAATTTCGAGTAATGTAAAAAATAATTTTACAAGATAACCAATTCTAATTTATAACATAATAATTTCTAAGATCTAAATTAATAATAACAAATTTTATAAAATAATAAATTCTTATTTATAACATAATAATTTCTAAATTCCACATAATAATAATAAATTCTAATTATAACATAATTTCTATAATAAATAAAAATTTTGATTTGTAAACAAAAAAGAAAATAAATTGGCCAGCCGGCAATACCGGCCGTCCACGCGGTCGGCCAGAATTTATTTTTTAGTTTTTTTTAGTTTTAGTATTTTGAAAAACTTCAGGGGCAAAACGGTCTAAGGGAGGACGGTAGGCAGTAAAAGAAGCGCAGTATTTAGTAATTGAGTAATAAATTTGTAAAATCAAAAAGCAACTGCTTTTATCATAATGGCCCCGTTTGTAAATAGCGAATTGAAGATAAATTAGCGGATTGGACTTAATTGAGAGGTTTGACCCGTCAAATCCGCTATTGAGCCTATTTGGTAAATAGCTTATTTGATAAGCTTTTTGGGCCTAAAACTCTAATTTAAANTTATTATTGGCTCCGTTTGGTAGATAGTTGATTGAAGATAAATTAGCGGATTGGACTTAGTTGAGAGGTTTGACCCGTCAAATCCGCTATTGAGCTTGTTTGGTAAATAGTTTATTTAATAAGCTTTTTGGACCCAAAACTCTAATTTAGAAAAAGCTCATTAGAGCAGGTTTTGGGATAGAGGATTCACAAAAATCATTTACTTGGAACTTTTTAATTTGTCTTATTTATTTTACAATCTACATTGGTTTATGATGCTAATAAATAATAATATGTCATCCATATGATTAATTTATCTAGAAAAATATAAAATTCATAACTTCTTCATCAAGTGTTAGTAAATTTTAAAAACAAATAATATATTTATAAATTACCAACTAAAGAATATTAAATGTTTTAATATATTATTATTAAAAGAATACACCCTAAATAATAAAATATCCTTATTGGTCATTTTGCAATGTTAAACAACTATAAGCTTTCAGCTATTTACCAAACACTTATTTAAAAGCCGTTAATACAATCCGCTGGTCAAATCAGCTAATATAATCCGTTATCCACTACCCGCTGATACAATCCACTATCCGTTGGTCGCTAAACAAGGCCAATATCTCCATGAAATCGTAGTTTGCCTCGAATTCAGTCATGATGTGTCAACAAAGACCTCTATGCCCCAAGAGGTTTTCACCGTCTCATCTGATAGAAGCTCTCATGATCTCAGTAGACATTTCAGCAAAACCAAATTCACCATTATCTCATAAAAATCAGCCATCAATCAGCAGAAAAATTACCAGCACAGGACAGCAAAATCCATTAACAAGATCAGTTTCATATATAGACTTACCAACATGAAACAGTACCAAAATAACCAAACAAACAAATAAAAGATGAACTAAACCTTAAACAACATTACATACAACAAAAGCATACAATATTTAGGTTAAAATAACCTTGGATTACATTTATTTGTCCCCTGCAAGTTTCTTGTCCCTTTAAGGGGGACTCAACAAAACCAATGTCCATGCACAACATCCTGTACATTCATATGAGGGAGAGAGAGAGTTTAGGTTATGAAGTTTGAATTAACACTAGAAACTATCAAATAGACACCTCCGTATAGTTGTGGCTATCTGGCTTACCCTTAGAGGGTGAACAACAACTGCACATACTCCCAAACACACACAAATAACCGTTATAGCAATCAAAAGTGGGCGTGAAGTTGAGAATGTTCTCGACAACACCAGACTGCAAGGTTTACGTGGCTTCGCATGAATATTAACATTCATTACAACTTCTCCATTTAAAAGAGGCTCTTCATCTGGAGATATTGAGAATTCTCTGGCCCCAACGTTATTATTATTATCCTTCATTGCTCCATGCATATCCTGCAAGATAAAAAGGAACACTTTTATTCATTCATGAGAACATGGTAAATTAAAAAGCATTCCTTCCAATTCCTGTAAACAGTTTTTTTCATTAGAGGAAATTCACAAGTTCCATCTTCCATTGAAAGAAAATATGGAAGCAAAATGTCTTCCAGTTGTGGTTAACAACTCAGTTGGCATAAAATTGATTTTATTTTATTTTTTTTTCAAATTCATCCAATAATTATTAGCACATGAACAACCAAAAAGGCAAAAACCTAATGAACTGAAATTCAATGTTTCCTGCAAGCCCAGGCATTTATGGAATTTTCCCCTTTTTTTCCAGCATAATAAGATCACAATAAAGGCATGCAAGAAAATTACGGCTAGAATAAAATATGTTTCAACATAGAATGTGCTTACCGTACTAGAAGCTTGAACAACAAGCTGTTTGTCCTTCTGGGAGCCTTGACTATAAACAGGTTTGTTCACATCAGGCTTCATTGTGGGAACTTTTCCTTCCAACCTCCAATCAAGCTCACTTTCTGCAATCTCCATGTTTTTCCTTAATGATCTCATATCTTCATCAGAAATGTCAGCCACCAAATTGTCATCAATTGCAGATCTCAACGTGCAAACAATTCTCTCCAAAATAACAGAGGATTCATTTTCTATGAGAAGGTTCAATAAATAGTTGAATCTTTGCACGTGAGAAGGTGTCATCTGGTATCCGGATACAGGTTTCTTGAGCGAATATGCTACATCTAAAAGGAAGTCTGAAAATTGTGCTTGTGTCAAGGCTAACACTTGGCACACGGACCTTGAAGGAGAATCTCGTTCTTGGGAGGATAAGGTATTGTTGAACTTTAGTTGCAAAATCTTCATTTCAGCAAAAGTTTCTTTATCACTGATGAGAATTGGAATGAAATTGGATAGTCCAGACTGGTTCTCGACCTGTAAAGGAAGCACGATCCAAAATTATTTATTTAAAAATGCGAGGATTACAAAAGTTGGCTATTCGAGACTGATAAATACTCCCTCAAAGTATTACAAATAATAATCTCCCATTTGAATTTTATAAAAAGTGTCCTAACATTTACCATGCAATTAAAGGAAACAAATGTCAATGGAGCATTAAAAACTTCAAAATGTAACAAACCTAAATATCAGTAGTAGAATTCAAAACTTTTCCTTACTTAAATCAAATGATCAAAGCAACTGATTTCTCTTATTGCTAAACAACTTCCGACAAAAGTTAGGACAACAGAAAGACTAAGAGGAATCATTATAGAAAATTGACGCATAATAGTGTTCATTTGTCAATTCAAACAATCTTTGCAAAACCCTATAGATGCAAAATACGTGAAAACATTTCCACATCTTCTCGAAATTAGAATGGGCAAGTCGTTCAAAAATGATGTGACAGGGTATTATAGTTATGTGACAAAAGGACAAAATGTAAAATTCTGTTTACCAAAAGTTCTCACCTCGATAAAAGCTGGACCTACAAGACTTGCATCTGTTTGAGGGACAGATATCTTCACCAGCTGGTGATCAAAACTGTTGCTATCTCCTTTAATACAACACAGTGATGAAACACATATATTGTACGCAAGGTAACGTCCAGCAAATGAAACAAGAAACCTACCATGATCATCACGCAACTTCTTTAGGATCTGGAAATAATTTCAATTTCAACACACAGAGAACACGACTTGGAGAAGAAAAATGAAAATGATAATGCTCTTTTTTGTGCATTACTGGCAATGATTTGTTACTCGAAACTCTTTTCATAGTTGAAGGAAACAAATTACAAAGAACGCTTCTCTACTGTATAAATACAGTTTGCAATTACAAATCCAACATCTAGGACCCCAAACAGCATCTAAGCAATTTTCGGTCGATTTCCAGAACTAGCTGCTCATCTTGTACTATATGAACAAAAATATACCACACTAGACTATGGTTTCCATAATGGACTACAGATACAAATCAAGATTTCCAAAATCATATTTTTCTAGTTGTAATATAAGGCTAGTCAAATCCTAGCTCAGACACTCTACCCTATACATGTTTATTCACCAACTTTTACTCTTAATCACCCCATAAATTATGCTATCATCTGAAGTTGCACACTTCAACATAATTAAATCTTCAGCCACATTCCTAACACCTCCATCCCCTTCTGGCCGGAGTTGAATAGAGGATGATGTTGTTTCATAAACTTAGGATATAAGTGCCACAACTGGGCAATAAATAAATAATAAATGCAGAACAAAATTTATGTCATTCCTTATCAATAGGAAAATGAATATTATACCGAAACTTAGGTTGAAGTAGATCACTTCCACAGGCCACAAATTCCATTGGCCTGCCAGCCTCGAAGCAATTTGGATGTATGTAGTGAAGCTTTGGGGCGCGATCTTTCACCCTAACTTTCACTACTGAATTTGCATCTGTTTCAGCTCAGCAATATGTTAGGAGAGTAATTACGGTAAAGAACAAATTATTCATTCTATACCAATAGAATAACCCTAGATACAATTGAATAACCCCGGCTACTTCACACATGAAGAGTCCCAAATGTGCTACAGATTTATTATTAATCATGTGAAAGTAAAATAAGATGCAAACTAACCTTTTGTGACACGAAATATCATGTCATTCAAATAAACAAGCATTGTGCCTCTTCCAGACAACATGCTTCCAGGTAATGCCACAAGGTTTTTTATACACAGAGCAGGTTCCTCCACCAACTGTCAGAGTAAAAGAATTATTAGTGTTAGGAAATAGTGACTATCATTCTGCATATCATTAATCACATTTCAATCACTGAGCAAACTTATGAAACAATATAGAAGCAGTTCAGCGCATTCGCTAATCAAGTTAGTTTTCCTTTAAGAACCACAGCAAACATAATTGTATCAACACACAAAACTATTTATGCATATTTGAATGATTGATGAGATCATTCAACTTAGTACCATAAGAATATTAACATTCCGGCTACCTTGAGCCAAACTGGCTTTGGCATTGCAATAAAAGTGGTCAAAATTGTACACCCAGGACGAATATACCCCTCTAGTTCAATGGGCATGCTGGCCAACCATTGGAATATCTACAAAATGCAGTTAGCATCATTTTTAATAGAACCCAAGACACTATAGTCACATACACAGACACACACACACAATATATATATACATCTCCCTTGCGAACTAAACTGCAATAAGTGTATTGTGTATACTTGATGTCGAAGTCGACGGGGAAACTCGGCAGGATTCCAATCATAAAGCTTGAAGGAAACCCGACCAGTCGGACACTGAGAAAACAGGAAAGGTCATGTGGACCAACCAAAGTTAGATTCCATAATCGGAAAGACACAATGACAAAAAGATAATACAAAAATATATGGCAACGGCCATCACCACAGAGGTAAAAGTATTCTTATTATCGGAATAGGACGGGGAGCGTCTATATACTGAATTCTGTTTCTGCCGTTGCGTATGAACTACACCAGACGGCGCAATTGATGCAACACTGTCAACATGGAGACTTTGGGATCCTAAAGTTGAACATAATGTGGACATATTTCTGTCTGGCTCCAATAATAATTCCCTTTCCTCAATATGACTACTCGGACATATGTCATCTGGAACATATAAAATTCATTTAGAGTTGTCATGAACTAGTTCAAAAGAAAAAAGAACAGCATTGACCATCACAAAGAGAATAATGATAAAAATAGTAATTGAAGTAGTAATAATCAACATAATTAACCCAACGTTGAAAAGAAGTAAGGTGTAATCTTGGGCATTACATCTTGGACTATTGCTTTTAAATTCCAAAGATTCTGCACAAGTACTCAGTTCAGCTCACACAACTAAGTGAACAAATTACGTGTGTGTGTGTGTGTGTGTGGGCATGTCCGAGAGAGAGAGTGAGGAAAATCAAAGCAACAAAGATTAGGCATAACTAACCCAAATATTACAAGGTCCTAATACCTTTTCCAGCATCATCGTCTGGACTGGCATCATCAGCACAGCTAACTTGCTGAACCTCCTTTCCTGAGCCTCCTTTAGAGTCACTGGATTTTCTTCTACGTCTGTTGTTGTGTCGCTCTAATTTCCTTCGACAACTACGCTTACCCTCATCAAAATCTGACAATAGATGAAACCTGTCAAAATTTTAGATGTGTAAGCATAAAGAATACCAAAAAGAATTAATTTCAACCCATTTTCGGCCATATACAAATTGAAAGGTATAATGTTTCTCCATACAGCAAACACACTGAATTGAGAGTAACTCCCATCCAACCTCATGAACAGGTCAAATTCATCAGTAAGCATTACAAACATAAGACATGTTCTTATTACATCTATATTTCAAAAACAGAATCAAGCTTGTCACCTAATATAACCCCAAAAATATAAAAGTAAAATGCATTTTCTACAATAAATGTCTGAGATTCATAGTAACAATAAGGTAGAAGTTCAAGAAAATGTATATACAACTGTGAGATAATTTATAACTGTTCCCTGTTTACAACACCTTAAAATAAAAGAAAAACTATCGAACATATCAAACGTGGCCTATTCCTACATCAAAATAAATCCCAATTGCTGAACTAACAAGAAAGGAAAGGAGAGCTTTCATATCCCAAACTGCATCTTAAAGACACGCACTAATTGACAGACAAAAGGCGCAAACTTCCCAAGTTGACCATCATAAACTCCACAATAAATATGCATGGACCAGCAATCCAAGAAACTTCCACACTGTTCACCACAGACATGATAAGTAACACGTCCACAAATCACCAATATAGCATACAAATGTTACAACGGCTCATCATCCATAGATAAACACGAAAGATGACTTACTTTCCACACTGCTGGCAGTACCTCTTGCTCTCCCCATCAAGCATCACCGTTGTTGCATTCGCACACCGCAAGCACACCCGGTGCCGCTTGTGATACCCTTTGAGCTCGCTAATGTCCGCCTCACAGTCCGGCACCTGGCACCGCATAGGGCTCCCTCCGGATGCCCGCACCATCCGGACCCGCTTCTTCCCAGGAAGGCCCGACTCTTCCTCCTCCAGCTGCTCGTCCATTTCGGGGCACGCACAGGGCACCCGACCCGCCAGGAAATTGGAGCAGACCAACCTCGGGTCCCTCTTCCTGACCCGGGCAGAGTTGTCCGATGACGGGTGGCCTTGATCAGGGTCGGGTCTGGATTCGGGTTCAACTTCGGGAAACGGGGCGTAGACCGTCTCATCCAGGTTGAAATCGAGAAGATCGGACCAGTCAAAGGGGAAGGAAGAGGAGGTCGGGTCGCCGGCGGCCATTTGCGAGGGTGGGTGGGGAGGAGTTGGGATTGGAGGTGGTGGGTTTTGCTGCTGCATCTTCTTTCGTGGACTTTGTTCCTACTCTTTTTGTTTGGGATTTTTGGGGATTTGGGATTTGGGATATGGGAGAAGGGCCGGGAAAATGGGAGGGGCAGATTAGATGGCCAAAATGTATTTGCATTTGTTTATTGGAAGGTAGAAACTTGAGAACTCGGATTAGGTGTGGTGTCGACACGATGACAAGCGTTGGGTTTCCTGAACCGGGTTGGTGGATCTTCCAAAGACGGATGCGATTTTCTTTGCTTTCTTTTTTATTTTAACAAGTTTACAAGGCATGTTTTAATTATTGAAAACTAGTACGAATCAAGTAGAAAATCAAAAATATCTCTTCCATTTCTCTCTCTCACATCTCCTTTCATCCTCTTTCATCTACCGTCGATTTAGGCCCTAGGGGTGTGCAAGTGGCCGTCTTCTCGGTGGTCTTCCGCTGCAGCGAGCCCCGACATTTTCTTCAATTTTGGCTAGCGGCCAGTTTTTTCCCTTTTGGGGGGGTTCGGGGGAGATTCCGGTGGTTTCCACCGTGCTGCTTCTCTTCTCTTAGTGTTGGATGAAGGGGTTGGCAGCCGAGGCCAGACCGAGGTCCGGGTATTGAGCTTTGGACCTGATTTGTTTGGTGTCGATTGGGTGAGTGGTTGAGGTGGGGGTCTCCGGCCTAGGGCAGAGGCGTCCGTCCGGATTTGGGTTGGGGTCGTTGGTGTCAGGCTTAATTATGCGTTCTTCTGAAATTTCTGGATCGGATTCCAGGGCTGTGGCTCGGTCCGTTTGGATGGAGGTCCGTTTGGCGTTGTCGTTGAGTAGCTTGGTGTAGTTTGTCTGTCGAGGGAAGGATTGTGTAGTTGTATTTAGTTTTGTTCTTTTCTAGTTGTTTTAGCTTGGTAGCTAGTGTCTGTTTGTTTCGTTTCGCTTGTGTTTTTTTCTCTTTGTCTCCCATTGGGGGTGTTGTTGTGACCATTTTTGTTACTTTTTTCGTTTTTATTTTGTTCTTCTTTTTCTCCCGTTTTAGGTCTTTTAGTTGGTTTTTAGTTTGTTTTATAGTTTGTTGTGTGTTTTGCTCTTTTTTGGTTTTTTATATGTTTTTTTTGTATATTTTGTCGGTTTTCTACATTTTTCTTCTTATTTTTGGTATGCAAGTCAGAAGCCCGTGAGGAATAGATTTAGCTCGAACATCGACCGGGCAATCATGGTTGCGTAAAAGGGTTCGTTGACGATATATAGGAAGAAGCGGAGCTCATTTTCGAGCTTGGACGAGTCCAAACGGGTCCAAAACGCGAAGTCGCGTGAAGTCACACGAAGCACGTCTTTGGTGAGCTGGTCATAAGCTTTGAGAGAATTGGATTTCAAGAATAATTTGACCTTACAAGCATCATTGAATAGAGGGGTTCGTTAGCGATGCGTAGGAAAAAACGGAACTCAATTCCGAGTTCGGACGAAGCCAAAAGAGCCCGAAACGCAAAGTCATGCAGCTCAGCCCCACCTAGTGGCGCTAGGGGTGCTAGCGGGCTTCTGAAGCTCATTTTTTACCCTAGCGGCGCTAAGACACCCCCTAGAGGCGCTAGGGCCCCCCTTAACGGCGCTAGGGCCTGGACCCCTCCACTACTTGCCCAATTTAAGGCATTATGGCCTATTTTGAGGGTACTTTCACTATGGTCGGGATTGTGGAGCATTTTACTCCTTGTTTTGTGATGATAATACCTTAAACTATGGATGGATGTTTGATATGAAGTAGTATAAATGGGGGTGAAGTGCAAGACTTCAAGGCATCCCATATTCAAGGGGGTTCTCCCCTCTTCTCCTTCTCCTTCTCTTTCTCTTGTTCTTCTTATGTTCTTCTTGGTTATTTTTCTTGTTTGTATTTTGGAGATTAAGCATTCCTTAAGAACTCAATTTGACTTGTAAGTTGATTTCGATTCTCGACTTGGATTAATAGTAAGTTTTCTTCATTTGATTATGAACATGAAAGCTTGTGTTAAATTTTTATTGTGATTGATTTCATCATGAGTAGCTAGATTCATTAGCTAGGGTTAGGGGATAATTGCTCCGGTCTGTTTTCATTTACATACTTGTCAATTACTCAATTCCTTACAAGTTGTGTTTTTTCTTAGATTAAATGCCTAATCATCATGTTGATCTACTTAATTTTGAAGCCGAAAGGATATAAGTCGGTCGAACGTGGCTTGTTAAGATTAGGATCTCAAATCTTTATAAATTAGATTAAATACCTAATCACCATGTTGATCTACTTAATTCATTTGAATCTGATAAGAAACTAGTCGGTCGAACTTGGTTTGTTAAAATTAGGATAAGTTCGAAAAGAATTGCCTATATATTGATTGGTTCGATACTTGCTCATTGTTATTATTCTCTTGAAACGAAAGTGGTTGAGAATAATCATACAAATGAACAAGTCTTTCGACACTCTTATTCGAGTATTCGATGGTAGATAAAAGTATTTAAACTAGAAGCAAATATCCCCGATACCCTAGCATTCCCATCATTATTGAAATCGTAGTTCGAGTTGTTACATTTAAATAGCTTTATTTAAGAATCATTAGTTAAAAATCAAAACCATCAAATTGAATTAGAGTGTTTAGGATTTTATTTTCTACTTTTGTGTTTTGGACAACTAACTAGCAAACGAAGCTCTGAACCGTCTTCCTTTGAGAGACGACCCGAGTCCGGATAACTCAGTTACTAAACTATCCATCACAAAATACTGCACAACAGTTGTGTTTGGTGTATTCTTCTGCTGGGAGCTTTTGTTTCTTTTCCTTTAGGGAATTGTTTTCGTTTTGTTGTGTGTTGTAGGTGGATTCTAGGTGCCGTCCGTGTGTACGTGTAGACCACTCTATAAGAGTCGACTGTTTAGCTTATTCGGCTTAATAGTTGTTCTCTTGACTCGATTTGTTGTGAATATAAGTGTTTCCTATCGCTCTGGACAAAAAAACAATAAAAAAAATTAGTACGAATATGATGTGATACACGGGTAAGAGATATTTATTAATATTTGTAAATTAAAAATGTTCATAAAATAATATTTATAAATAAAAAATATAGAATCAATATGTAATACAATTTACCTATATTAGTTTATTTAAAATGTTATATGAAATTTAAAATATGCAAAATTAAATAAAACATGTTTATTTAAAATTAGTACACAACCCGAACGGTGCACATAACTGCTAATAAGGCTATGTTTGGTACACTAATAAGCTAGCTTATAGCTTATTTAATTAGCTTATAAGCTTTCTATATTTAAAGAAGCTCTGTTTGGTAGGACAAGCTTATTTAAAAAGCTCGAGCTTATTTGATAAGCTTCTTTTGGTAGCTTTTCAAATAAGCTCGTTGAAATTTTTATTTCATCTAACTTATCAACTAATTTTACCAAACACTTTTATCATATAAGCTAGTTTTTCAGCTATAAGTCATAAGCTATAAGTTCGAAAATTACTAATAAGCTATAAACAAGCTTATCGTCTATGAGCTAGCTTATCAGCTAATTTTACCAACCATAAGCCTAAATTACATTATTTCAAGATAAGTGTCATTTTAAAATTTTTATTCAAAAATTCGATTTGCATAGAATGTGGTTCCATAAAACAATTATTTCGGTAAAATTTTATCATATATTTAAAAATCTATGTTAATAATAAGTGTAATATTAAAATACATATTGTTTCATTAATTAAAATAAATATAATTTTGTATATACAAAAAAATTAAGTAGTTAAGTAATTTATTAAACTATAAATAATTATCTCTTATATTTACGTCCAAGTTAATATTCATCCGTAAATTATGAATAATTATTTATTTGCATTTTAACTTTGGAACCTAAATTTGGACTACAATAAAATCTCTTTATATATTTTATATATATCTATATTTCACTAATATCGATATTTTTTAGATTTGTTGTCGATTACCTTGTCGTTCAAATTTGTCAACTAATTCTCTAGAATTAAATTACAAATTTTAAATTTTATTAACAAATGTTTGTTCAAATATCTTTCTAATTTTCAAGAGGAATACATACCAATTTTCTGAATTATCATCAATATCTTACGGTAAGTTATTATGGGAATATGCTAAAATTTGAGAATCATATTACCTTGATTTTATAAGAAATCAACCTAAAATCCGACTATCATACTCGTACCAAATAAAATTTATACAGTTTATTTTATTTTCAAAATGTTCAAATGCACTTTTATCCTCCCAAATAAAATTCATATTATTTAAATATGGACCTTTTATACCAAAATAAAACCGCTTACTTCATACAATATATTCGAACATTTATTAATAACACATTTCCTACCAAAAATAAAAATGTTCATCAAATACATCAAATAAAATCGCTCACTTTATACAAAAATCAAATTTATTAATTTTGTCAATTTTATACATATATTTCTTAATTAACTTCTAGAGTCGTGATTTTTGAAAATTTTAAAAAAATATTACTAATTTTAGTAATTTTAAAATTTTTAGACGGGATTTTAGTTTTTATTCCAAGTAAATATAAATCTTTATATATATTATGTGTGTGTGTGTGTGCGTGCGTGTGTGTGTGTGTCGACTTGTAATAATATGCATTGACGTGATAAAATACTATGTTTATCAGCAGATAAATATATATAAATATAAATATGTATTGACTTGTGATAATATGGATTTGTGACTATCTATTTTGTTTTAACATTTTTATTTTTAACATCGATTGGAAATGTGATTTTTTAAATTATTTTGTTTCATTATACAATAGATTTAGTTTTCCAAATCATAATATGAATAGCAAGCAGTTTTCCAAATGATATATATGAATAGCACACCATGTAAATCAAATGTTTACCACACAAATCGCTATGACATAAAAAAAGGATCATGTATCAGAATTTTTCCAAAAGCAATTAATTATAAATTCAATCTAGTACTCGAAACTCATTTAAAAAATTTAACCAAAAATAAAAGTTTAATCTCATTTCGAAATGTAATCAACAAATCTGCTAACCAATTTGATAAAATAACAGCTATTCTTACCATGAAAAAATCGGCACGAAATGTAAACAGCAAATCTGCTAACTTTTCGTTTGTATGCAGCTTGGTTTTCACCTAACCGCTGCTCAATCCTATACCTAATCCATATCCGCGTTTGGGCTGTGAACTATACCAAGAAGAGAAACCAAAGAACAAAACTATGAAGTTTCTCGATTGGTACTTGAAGATAGCAGCCGTTTCAGCCTTGATTGGAGGTTCCATGGAGCTATTCATGATCAAAACTGGCTTCTGTGTCAGGACTCTCCTTCTCATACTCTCTCTCTCACTCACTTCACTAACTTATCGAATTTCGTCTGCTTAATTGTCAATGAGAAAAACCCATATCCGATTGCTTGGCAAGGTTAATTTCAGTTTCTGTGGCCTGACTTTCCAGTTCGGACATTATTCTTGGCATTTTAGCCGCTTTTGGTATTACATTTTGTAAATAGAATTTCTGCTTTAACCTAATTTTCAATATCCTCTCAAAGTACGATCTTGAACTTAAAGAAATCTATTGTTAGCAATGAATATTTTGTTGTTAAGGCTTATGCATGATATCGAAATGTGATTTAAACTCTGTATTGGGGAATTTTGGAGAATTTAAAATTTATATGATTTTTCTTTTGAATGGCCAGTTTGCTGAAAATCACGCAATAGCTTCTCTGTTTGGTAGAATTCAATGTTGCGTCAGGTTGTGCAAGTTCCCAATGGCTTTTCCTTTTGGCATGAAAATTAAACTGAAGATTTCTTGCTTGCATAACTACTCCTTGGGTGATCATTCTTTGGTTTCAACTGCTGCATTTCCCTAGATAAAACAACTATGGACGAAGTAAACAAGCAGAACTACTAATTTGACTAACAGTGCATGAACTTTGGTTAAACCTCTCTTATTAAACTGGAGTCCTGTTACTACTTTGGTATCCCGCGTTATGTGAGCATGATAGTTGAGCCAAATCATGATTAAAAAATTGGTATGAATGAGTGTTCATGGGTAACTCAGTACTGATAAGTCTAGTGTATGGTTCAACAATACTCCCACATGGGTAAAAATCTCTCTCTGTTTAAGAAAATTTCTTGCTTTCATGTTAAGTTACTAGATTTTAGTGTTGTTTGTTGTTCAGTTTTGTAATCCTTTTGTCAGTACCTCTTCTGATTTTATTTGTATCAATTGTTAAGCTGCTTATTTATGTGTACATTTTCTGAAGACGATAAAGTGACAGTTTTGGAATCAGAGAAGAGGGCTTGGGAGAATTCGCCTGAAGCTCAAGCAATGAGAGATGCTCTCAATCCTTGGCGAGATCATGATAACCAAGAAAGAATAAGTTCTTAGTAATTTTTCGAAGGATTGGTTTACAATAATCTTCTTACAAATACATTTGGATTTATGAATTTAGTGGAGCTTAAGTTTCATCAATTTTGATGACAATTTTAGTTGAGCTAAAGTTTCAATTTCGAAGGATTGGTTTCCTTTTCTTCCTTTTTTTTTTTTTTTTTTTTTTTTTTTTTTTTTT